TCTTCTGGTCCGAAACCACTACGGCACTACTGCCTTAGCGATCTCGGCCATCTGATCGGCTATTATTATTATTAATATTATTATTGTTGTTGTTATTATTATTATTATTATTATTTTAAAATATGGAATTACAGTTGATGGAGTGAAGTATTATAATGTATGTGTTGAAGGAAAATAAGGACAAAATATACATTTAGGGATTATTAGATACTAATTAAAATTAATTTATTAACTTTTAATTGTAATAATTTTCCCACTGAGCATTAGCCAGGGTGGTCACATTCTGGAAAACCCAGAGAACAAGGATAAATAAGCGAATTTCTGTGCTGTGGAAAGGTCATGCGAAAATCAAGGATTTTATAGAAGAGTCATTAGAATTCAGGGAACATTTTGAGAGGGGATAAAACAAGATATTATTCCTTAAAAACTTAATTACAGAATCATTTTTTACTAATTTTTTATTTGATGAGAAAATATTGACAATTTGTACTTTGCCAATGGAAACCAATGGAAATGCCAACTTTGCCATGGGAAAACAGAGGACCAATTTGTAGAAAGTGCTTTAATATTCTCTTTAGTGTGAATTTGCAAATCTGATCAAAGGAAAAATGCTCTGAAAAACTGAAAAAAGTCTGGGAAATTTGTTTGTGAATATGAGTTGCCAGCCAAATTAGCTCAAAGCAAACCCTAATAAATAAATGTGTAGCCCATATCTACATTTTGCATGAATTTTTGACTTTCAATGAAGCAAAATGAAATAAGTATATAATTCACCAAAAATGAATGTTAAAATCAGTTTATTTTACACCATTTTCAGCATTATCAGATATAAGATAAATAATGTATATTAAAATAACTATTTGACTAAAATTATGCATTGAGTTTATTCTTGTGTTTAAAAAATTGTATTATATAATGCTGTACTGGTCTTTCTCCATTTGTAATGTTGTAACTCAACTCCACTATATGGTGCTGTAGATCAAAACTAAATATTCATGTCAAATGCAACCTGCAACACACAACTTCTTCTTTTTTTAATTTGTATTGTTAAATAACTCCTAAAGGAGCGTTTTAGGACATTAAAAACAAAAATTTGAAGACAAAGGGCTTAAAGAAACGTTTCTCACATTACAATCTACAGGATGAGATCTTGAACGTTCAATTACATTTTTGCTGGTCCGACCCTTCTAAATATTACTTCACCTGTTAAGAGACATGTAGAATCTGCAACTAAATGTGAACAGACAGAAAGAGAGACACAGAGACAGAGTCAGAGAGACTGAGATAGGGACAGAGAGAGAGAGACGGAAAGAAAGACGAAGAGAGGGAAGGAGGGATGAAGAAAGAGAAAGAGAGATATATAATAAGCGCACAATATCTGTTGGGTTTCACTAGTTAACTATATACTTTAAAATTGGTACCAAATTAGTACAGATTTCTTGGGATGTCGAATTTTATGAATTGTAGTCTTTTTGTTTGTTTTTAGGTAAAAATTCAAAATTACCTACCCTCTTACAACCATATTTATTAATCACTTTCTCTACAATAGTATCAAACAACCACATTCCCTACCTGACTCTTCTTTACTCATTTGTCTTGTGGATATTCTACATGAAATGAAATTTATATGAGAATCAAATCTTGTATTGTTTCTTATGTATTTGAATTCTGCTGTTTATTTCATCTTCCCCCAGTTGTTGTTTCTCCTAGGGGGAAATTATTTCATTTGTTCTCTAATTTTAGAGACTTAACTAATGAATTATTTTCCTATGGGTAGCTCACAGGTCAGCGTGCTCGCTTTGCATAACACGCTCATGGGTTTGATTCGGGTCGAGTCAGATTATTGTGTACACTTTCCTTGCAGTTGTTGTACTATAGGATTCGTTCAGTACTGACAAAGGGCGGCTTTCATCGCCATCTGCGTTAGCAGCATGGATGCTGGTCAAGCATGTAAAGCGCCTGGTGTATTTACCAATGATAATGCCAAGAAAGGGGCAGAAGGATTGGTGGACGGGAACATGATTGAACATGTCCATCAAATCCAAACTGATTGCAAATAGGTTGTCTTGTACACTCTGAAGTACATGAGTGGAAAACAGGAGATGCACTGGGATATTTTTATAGCAAGGTTTAATCAGTTTATCAGTTCAATTAACTGAGTAAAAGAGTAAAATTAATTTTCTTAATTTTATAGTTCTTTACATTTCTTTCCTTGTCACCATTCCTCATATCTCCATTTTAGAATCCTATTCTCCCTCTTCAACTCTTGACCTTGCCCAAACCTGCAGCACAGAATCCTATAATATCTCAGTGCTAACAAGCTGAAAACTATTATTGTTAGGTTCAAAATGAAGCAAGTTTTATCATTTTAAACTTAATATACCTTTTTTTGAATATTTGTACATAGTGTAGCGAAAGTTATGTAATACTGCAGGAAAAAGTGCTGATGTTTGAACGGGACATTGTGGAAACCTGATATTGAAAAAGTGGATATTTCTTGCACATATAAATAGAATATTACTTTCTCTTACTATATGATGTAGTATAATTAGCATGCAAGGTGCAGAGCTCCTTGATACTGGTAAAATGTTTTTTTCTCTCTGTGAAAGTACTTGCAGGCTAAATTACAAATTTTACAACTATGTTACAAATAATACAAGAAAGAATGTTTTATTGTAATGCTGAAAACAACTACTTTTGGTTTGTGAATTATATATATGGTATATTTACTATAATATACATATACACATACTGGCCTATAATGTGAACATTTCATTAATAATTTTGCAGCATGCAATGGAAGTGATGGGTTTTTCACCAGATGAAATAGTCTCATTGTTAAAAGTGGTGGCATCAGTATTGAAGTTGGGCAATGTCACTTTTTTGCCTACAACAAACATTGATGGGACTGAAGGCTGTGCTATAAGTAATGAATATGGTAAGTTCCTTTGAGAATTAGTCAACAGTTGTTTTATGTTCTATAAAATAATAATTTTTTAAATTTACTTTACTGATTCTGTACAGAACTTTTTGAGGTATCTCAATTACTGGGAGCTGATATGGCTGTTTTGCATGCAGCACTTACTCAGCGTTGTGTAACATTCTGCCCACCGCCACCTAAGTGTTGTTCGTCACCCAAAAAGACTGGTTCTCCAGCTAAGAGCAGCAGTCGAGGTATTTTTTAAAACATTTAATGAATATTATAAAATGCAATCATTTTGTTTTTGTAATTAGAGCCTCTGAAATTTGCCAGATCTCTTTGATGTTTGTGATCTACTGGGAAGTGGCACAGATGAAGAAGTTATTGCCGAACTTGGTGCTTCAGAAGCTGCTCGAACAAGAGATTTGCTTTGTAGAGCCCTCTACAGTCGTCTTTTTACTTGGCTTGTTAGTCGTGTGAATGATTCTACAAAGGTCTGAAATCATTTTCTCATTTCCAGTGTTATTATTACTATTATTATTGTTATTATTAATATTAATATTATTATTAACATTAATATTGTTGTTGTTATAATTATTTTCAAAAGAAATGAATATATATGTTCAGAAAGAAAAATTAACACAGAAATAAAAAAGAACCTAATTTACACAATTCAATTGCATTGTGTCTGCGAGGCCATTTCCTTCCTTTCCCATTGTAGTGCATGTGTCAGTAAGTTTTATTCAAAGGAAATGGAATAAAATAAAATATCAAAAAGTTGGGGTCTAGTGATAAGTTTTGCTTTTTGGCTTTAAAACAAATAGTTAATATTTGATGGACAGATTAAATAAATGTGTATGAAAGGTGACCATTATTGCCTACTACTTGTGGTCAAAGAAACATATACATTGATCATTTCTTCTAAAATTTGGCAGAGATCCTAACCATTTGCACAGGTGTAAGTCAGGAACTAAAAAAAACATTAAATGTATTTATATTTAAAAATCACTTTTGTAGGTGAAACCTTATGGTAGGCGAAGAGTTTTGGGCCTTCTTGATGTTTATGGTTTTGAAGTAATGGAACGTAATGGTTTTGAACAATTTGTCATTAACTTTTGCAATGAAAAGTTACATCAAGTTGTGACAGAAGCAACATTGCGTTTAGAACAAGAAGAATATGTAAGAGAAGGTCTTGAATGGTCTCATGTGGACTTTCCTAGTAATCAATCTCTCTGTGATTTTATTGAAAAGGTATTAGCATAATGTAATTCTTTCTTAAACTTTCTTTATGTAAAATAGCATTATTTTCTAAATTTCAATTTTTTTATTTTCAGAATCATGGTGGTCTGCTTTCTCTTTTGGATGAAGCTGGAATAAGTATGTTATCAGATGAAATGTTTCTTTCACGACTCTCTCAGTGTCCTGCCCATCGTGGTCTTCTGTCTACTGCTCATAGTGCTGACAATAGTGTTCCACCTGGCTGCTTCAGGTTGTGATAGTGTACTTCTAAAATTTAGTGCAGCATTGAAGTTAATATTTTAGGGTCGTTTCATATATTTCCTGCTTTTTTAGGTTACGACATTTCGCTGGAGCTGTCACTTATGATGTGCGTGGTTTTGTAGACAAGAATAATGATATTTTGCCCCGTGATCTATCATTGGCAATGTATCGATGTCAACATTCTTTGTTGAAACTGCTCTTTCCCGAAGGTTGGTTAATGAAGTCATTGAATTGTGTGCTTAATAGACAAAAAATGATATTAACTTTCTTCTGCAGGAAATCCTAAAAGACCTTCTCTAAAACGACCAGCAACTGCTGGTGCCCAGTTCAAAGTCTCTCTGACGGCTTTAGCTCGATCATTAGCTGGTAGACATGCTCACTACATTAGGTGCATTAAGCCTAATGAGTTAAAGCAACCTCGCATTTTTGAACTTGCTTTAGTACAACACCAAGTTAGATATTTAGGGTGAGTATAATCTATTTAAAGAACATTTCTCACATCTAATCTAGGTGCTCTATTTTCTAGAAATACTTACTATGATTTCAATATCCTTAAATTTAGTTGTTCTATAGTGTGTTACACACTTTCTTATAGCATATATTTTGCATTTTTCTGCATGTAGTTAATAATTACATTTGCTAACTCTAAACCAACACTTCTGAACATTATTAAAAAATGTATCATCGTGACAATGTTGTCTCCAAGCTATTCCAGCTTTAAATTATTCAGTCACTACTCTTGTAAATGAATATTTTTTACAAAAACTTTCAAACTCTACCAAAAATTTTGTAGCAGAATATTTTGAGAAAATTTCAATAAATGAATTAGTTACTATTACTTTATTATAATCATGATATTGAAGACATTGGTAGGGTCATTAATTATATATTTTTTGCATTTTTCAAATTGTTTGTACTACTGTGTCATTTTTTTTCCTCCACTAATTTATCTGTAAAAATATGTAATTATTTAAAATGTATCTGTAATTTTATTAAAAGAAAAAATTGTGATTTTTAAAGATTAAAATGTTTTAATAGAAATAACAGCTAATATGATTAAGAGAACTAGCCTATGTCTGTAAAAAACATTAAGAAACTTGTTTCAGCAGTTTTTGAGAAAATGTCATGCATGTATTTTTAGAGTATTGTTACATTCCAATTTAAGCAAATATGAAGACTAATGATTTCCAAAAACTAAAATGCTCTAATCTCTTGGGAGAAAATGCAAAGAATCTCAAATTTGAGGGTTTGCAAACATTTTTATAAATGCAATACATTTCATGCAGACTCTTCAAAAAAAAAAAAGGTTTCTTTTAAATTTGCCATTCGTCAAGTTAAACTAGCAGATTATTCATTTTTGAAACAAATTGTGTTCAATGTCAAAGATGTTGTTTGCAAATGAATATGAAGGCAAACATAGGTCCTCAAAATGTATATTGCCGTATTGATAATTTGAATATCTATAATCCTTTTTCTACTGTAAACATGAGGATACTTTTAAGAATGAAAATGCAAATGTGTTCAATTCAGATTGAAAAATTTTGTTTTGAGCCAATTAGCTCTTTAATTGAATTAAATGAAAATAAGGTATTGTAAAACTGCAATTCAAATGTTTGTATTTATGGCAAGATAATTGGAATTCAAATTTCTTTATTTATGTGTAGTTATAAATGTCTCCATTTATTTGTTTGTTTTCCTTCCTTTCTCCTGTACCTCTACTTTTCTTCATTGGTTTTCTTTCTCTTCATTGACCTTCTTTTCCTTAATAGCCTTTAGATTTTGAAAAGGAGACCTGAAATTTTTCTTAGAGTATTCTTGTATTACAAATGTATTTAGTTTCAAGAACTGTTTATTCAAGAGTATTTCTAAAATGTTGCTCAATTACTGTAACAGCCTTGTGGAAACTGTACGGGTTCGACGAGCAGGATTTTGTCATCGGTTACCATATATGCAATTTTTGGAGCGCTATAAAATGCTGTCACTTCGCACTTGGCCTAGCTGGCCAGGGACTCCAGTGGAAGGAGTGTCTTACTTGGTGCGCGATCTTCCCATTCCCAGTGGTGAATTTGCATTTGGCAGAACAAAGCTTTTTATGCGAAGCCCACGTACAGTAGGTATCCATTGAAAATATTTGAAGAAAATTATCTATTTTATCTATAGAATCAGAACAAAATTAGTAATAAACTAATATTGGACTTCTGAAGAAGGTACTCCTCAATGGAGTAAACTAAGTTTCTTGATATTGAAACGGGGAGGAGGGGAGAAATTCAAGCAATTTTTATATTTATTTTTTCTCCGTCCTTCAATACCAAACATTGCATTTTATTGTGCCTGATCTTGGCTGCCCGAGTGATGCCACATCGAAGGCTGGGTTGCCGCCATCTTGTCATGGTCTTCCTCAGGGCTGGTATGGGCCTTCCTCAGGACACATGACTCGAAAGCCTAGGACTTCATTGATTTTTTTTTTTTTAATATATTTTTATTGCAACTCAATTTGTAATTCCGTAGAAAAGTAAACTCATCTGAAAAAATTATATAACACTTCCAGAAATAATGTTTTGCCCAAAAATATCCATTTTTATACTGAAAAAAAAAGCTTTTAAAAGGAATACATGAAAAATGTGAATATTTTGAAGTAGTGGGGGCCATTTTAAAAAGCATGTTATAATTTGTTTAAAACAAGATACATGTAGAAGAAAAAAAAATTGTCTTTTCCTAAATATTCTTTGCCAAATCATTTCCTTTCAACAGGATGACAATCCGATGAATAAATAAACCTATTCTTAGGGTTAGATTTGAATACTTGGTGTTAATCACTAAGGAGAAAGGAAAAAAAAGAGGATCTGTAACTATTTTTTGAGGGAGTTCTGAGAATATTCATAGGCATTACATAGCCATCTCTCTGAAAAGTATTTTTTAAGTCTCTTATTCAGTGCAGCATGCTGTATGTGCCTCTTATCATCCATTTATTTTCTGTTTTTACAACGTCAGTTGTTACAATCCGTACTGAATGAAACTTTCTAATATTTCTAATTAACATTGAAATTTAAGTAAAAATACAATGGAACATTTTTCCAAATTTCAGTTTTGTATTCTAAATATGTGCATTTTAGTTTCAACAATTACCTGTTTTTATATTGTAATATGTTATTAAATATTATTGCTTTCACTTTTTATCTATTTCTAGGTCTATGAGCTTGAAGAATTTCGACGTGCTCGTCTTGAAGATCTAGCTGCTTTGATTCAGAAAACATGGAGAGGACACTGGCAGAGGACACGGTTCTTAAAAATGAGAAGAGCACAAACTGTGATAGCATCTGCCTGGCGTAGTTGGAGAGTAAGTAGGACCTTCATTGATATGAGTTTTACATTTCTCAATTCAGTCACTTGTGTAATACTAATTATTCTTTGCCAATGCAGGAGTGTCGCTTTGGAATATCCTTTGAGGGGCGAAGGCATTTGTGGTGCCTTTACAATGTGGTATGTTGCTAATGTTTCCAGATGTTTTCAGTGTTTTTGCACCTTCTTGTTATTCCTGGTAATGCTTCACAATTTTGATGTTCCTTAGTTGTAATTCTGCACTGGAGTATCTTTTGAAGTATACGCATTCTAGGATGTGTTGGTGTAACATCATTAACTACCTGACAAGATCTCTATTTGGATATGTCCTGTTCTTTGTTGTTTTTAGTCAGTAGGATAAATTATTTTTGAACAAATTTATGTGCCTTTAGATGAAAGGGTGTCCTGATGCTTCATTAGAACCAGTATGTTGATGGTAAGCTATTTGATAATAATCTTTGCAGTAAACAAAGTGCAGTAAAATATCCTTTTATACCAAGGTGTATTAAAGTAATTATTTTGCAGCTTTCTTTACACTAGTTTGTTTTGATAGTTTAATATTGCAGATCATCAGTTGCTGACCTTAATTCCCTTTCACTAGCCATTGGATTTGAAGTCCCATTAGTGAATAATGCCACTAGATTGACAGACTCTTTCTTGTATTGCAGGCAAGGGAAGAATACAGGGAATTAAAGCGGCGGCGACAGTTAGAATGGGCTGCTTCTGTAATCCAGATTCGTTACATTCTACTTCAGGTACTACTTAATTTTTAGATTTGAATCATGCAAAAGAGTTGAAAAAAATCATCAATCTCTTAGCAACATATGCCAGATAGATATACCATGAAAAATGCCAGATCAAGCTGTGCACATCTGCCCATCTTTGCAATCATTCCTTGTCACATTGTCACAGTTCAAGCTGTAAAATGAATATCCTTTGATAATGAATGGAAGATAAGAATCTTTGTTACAAGCATGAGTATGGGATATAGGTCCTGCAGATGGGGGTAGAATCAAATGTATCAGAGTGAAATGACCACAAAATGACAAATACATTTCTGTTATTTTACAAAAATAAATAACAATATACATGTATAATAACAACTAAAAGAGTTGTTAATTAAAATATAAAAACTATTACCTGTAAGCTATCGTGACCTTCTTTTTTTACTCCCTCATTCGCTCGCTCTCCCTCTTTCCCTCTCGCTCACTCTCACTCTCTCTCTTGCTCGCTAAGCTTCTTCATCAAAATTCAACAATTTAACAAAGCCAAAATAACTTAAATGTATATAAAATTGTGTACTACTATGCAATATTGCATTGGTTACAATAAAGCTTAAGTGCTAATTAATTAATTAATAAAACCAATATGACACAAATATCTCAGTTACATTTAGTAACTACAAAATATTAAATAACTAAACAATACTTCCTGGTTTGCAGCAACTTCTGACAAAACAATATTCTGCGAATTACTTCTTTGACCCTATGACCTGATAAACTCTAGTTTCCAAACATGTTAAAAAAGTTAACGGGATAGAATCATATCTTGCTACTCAAAGTATTTGTTGTGAATCAATGATGTCAGATTATTGTTATAATGTAATTAATCAGACAAATCAAACTCATTTTGTTTGTGGGTATATATATTTTTTTTAAATTTACATCATGGACATAAATATGTTTGTCCATTACTCAGCAACCAGAAGGAATTACAAATCAACTTGTCTGAGTATACAAAAATATAGTGACTTAGTTTGGAGAAGTAAATAATATACTTACTGTCTCATTATCAGAAAAAAATAATATAATTTCACATACTTCTTTTTACCATTATTGCAAAAGCTTTCAGGCTATTCCAGAAGCTAAGAAAATATTTTTGTCATAATATTAAACATGTTTCTAACCAATCATAAAGTGGAGTAGCTAGAAGAACTAAAATACAAAAATATAATAGGTTTAATTAGGTGTCATTGGATAAATAAGAACAGAAAGACAGACTCATGCAATTAAAACACGTAGAATAACAAAGAGTTTAATTTTACTTTGAATTTAGTTTTCTTCCTTTGTCTAACTGCTCTTACCATGTAATAGAGTTTCACAAAAGATCTAAACTCTGAACTAAAAATATAAAAGAAAATCAAAAATATATTTTTTAATTACATTATGAGAAATGTCTCAATGCATCAGTGCTTGTGACGTGTGCAGCTTCAGTGCAGGGCCGAGGGTGTTGCTAATTTGCTAATGCCTTCGAGTGTTTTTTGATCTATAGGATTTTGATCTATATCTGAGTGAATGCATAATCTATTGCAATAAACTTTATCATCATAAAGCTATTTTCTGTGCCTCTAGGGAATAATTCCCCATCAGTAACAAATTTATGGAGTGAAATTATCTTTGGTGCTTTAAAAGAGAACCAAACTTTATTTTGGCCTTAGAGAAATACAATGTATTTCTGATACAAATTACAGTATTATAAATCTAGTAACAGGCAAAGATTCATTTCTTAAGTTCAAATGCATCATATCTTGCTCGAAAATCAGAAGTTGATCAACACGTGTGGTAGATGCAGTAGGTTGATATGTGCAAATTCGTGTGAATTTACACAAATCATCTTTTATCTTAAGCTCAGCAATAAGATAAGAAAACCAGCCACAGCAATGCTCTTGCTGTTCCTAAACATTAATGTCTTCATTTTGGTTAAAGTTACAGCCCCAAACTTTTCATTAATGTCAACAATAGTAACAAGATAGAACAAGGTAGACTCTTTCACAAAATACAAGAAATTAACATTTACAATTAGCGTGAAGCTTGCTATGGCTGGTGTGGCTTATCATGTTACTGCTTCAGGCACTTCATATGAAAAAACAAAACAAGCAAAAACTATCATTTAAATATAGCTTTTACCAAAAAATTTATGAAGTTTCCATATTTCAATAACATCAAAAATAAGTGTCCAAAATTTTGTTAGTTTGGTATTTTCAAGTAATTTTCCTGCTCTGAAGCAGATATTATCTAAATTATTGAAACATTTGCCTCAGATACCCAATAATTTACTTTAATCTCTTGATAAGTACATTTTAAATTATTATAAATTAACTGAAAGTAAATTAAAATGTTCTAGCGTCGCCGCTTCTTATTGCGTCTTGCACAATCATTAATTCCATCAGCAGAATCTCCAATAAGCAGAGAGTGGCCTTCTGCACCACGGCGCTTGACTGATACTTCACTTTTACTTCGAAGGCTTCATCACAAATGGAGGGTGAGAACCATGAATACTTATAAACTTTGCCTTGCTAAAAAGGAAAGGAAAGGAAAAACAAAATGATGAGGAAGGATTCAAATTTCCATTAAAAATTATGCTTACTCTTGATTATTGTGCAAACTTTGTTTGTTTATTTCTCTTCTTTTGTTTAAGGCACTCAACAGTTCTAGATACTAACTACTACTATTAATTATACTAACTACTACTATTGATTGTGATGTCATCTGTCATTGTTTGTGTTTTAGTGTCATAAATATCGATTGAAATTTGACCAGACTGCTCGAAACAGAATGAGAGAGAAAGTTACCGCAAGCATAATTTTTAAAGACAGGAAGGCATCTTACCCGCGAAGGTAAAAACATTTTTTAAGTTTTGAAACTCTGATTTTGTTGTATTTTGATTTCCCCAACACTCTCTTTTCTGGATTATTATTTTGTCTTTCTTTATGGATATATTTATGCTTTACTTGTAATTATACACTTTATATTCTACTTTCCATATTTTTTGTTTTTGCAGTGTTTCTCATCCGTTTCTTGGTGATTACGTGCGTCTTCGGCAAAATTTACAGTGGAAAAAATCATGTGTTGAAACAAATGATCAGTATGTTGTGTTTGCTGATATAATTAACAAAATTACTCGTTCAAGTGGAAAAGTGAGTCTATTGGTGTAAATTGAAAATGGAAATTGCACTTTTTTTAAGATTAAACATTTTGTTGAGAAATAATAGTAGAATAATAATTATGTCCAAAGTGTTCTGTTTGTGTTTTAGTTTGTGCCCATCTTGTTTGTGCTTTCAACTAGTGCCATGCTTATTTTGGATCAGCGTACATTACAAGTGAAATACAGAGTGCCTGCAGCAGAGATATATCGTCTTTCACTTTCGCCATATCCTGATGATGTTGCTGTCTTCCATGTCCGCGCAGTATGTATGGAAAATCTATTAAAATTAGAAAATATAAGCTTTTACCTTATCCTTGTATATGTTGAATATTAATAGCTTACTGATAATTTGCTGAACTGTTTATATTTTGCTTTATTACCGTTATATTCGTATAAATGAAATTTATAATATTATATTTTTTTAAATGTATCCTCATCATGCTCATAATTTCTCAGACTTAGTTTCAATAATATATTATATATATATAGGCTGTTTAGCGAATCTGAAACCATGACGTACCTTTCCTCAAGCTCTTCTTCATTTGTGCTGTGCTATGCTATGTAGAGGGTAGTACCCTGTAGTGCAGCGTAGTGTTACTTGCAGCCCAGCCCCCCCTCCGAGACTCCGAGCCAGCAGCATCTGCCAGGCTGCCTGTTCCAGAGCGAGCTAAGCCGGAGGAAGGGAGATTTCGTCTTCCAGACTGGCCATGTTATTGAGATTGTCACCAAGCTGTTCCTTGTGGTGCAGAATGCACTAGGTCGACCACCTGAGGTCAACATTAGCACTGAGTATGTAACTAGCCATTAATATAATTTAAAATAAGACTACATTAGAATAAATTTATAAAGGTCTTACAGTGCCATACATATCACTGTACTAGTTTTTCAATACTTTTCAAAGATAAACATTTTGTTTTAATTTTGTGATCTTCTGTCTAATGTATAGAATAGTAATATAAGCAGTTGGTACTACATTTATCTGTAACTAGCTGAACCCTTGTTATATCCTTGTACAAACAGAAGAACTGGAGAAAGTTACATCTCAAACGTACAACATGTGCATGATAAGGAAAATCAAAACTCACAAAACATAATAATCAAAACTCCCCCAAAATATTGTTTAATGTTGTTCTGTTCTTATATACTCAAATACTAATGAAATGTGTTTACAAATTCTGAAACAATGCGATTACTATTTATTGCAAATCGAGAGTTAACAATGTTTCTGTAAATGTAAGCTGTTTGAAATGTTCGATATTTACCAATGTGTGGTCATGTATGTTGTGGTGGATTATAGCAAGAAATCCTGCTATCTACCTCAATTTAAAAATGCAATGCATCAATTACAATTACAATCGCTGAATTTTTGTTGTTAAGAAACACGTTTCAAACAATTGTGGACGTTGCATTTATACACACTTGTTAATCTTTGCATTTAAAGACACTCAACCTTCAAACTTAAAAATGCGCTAGCTTCACTTCACTAAATATGACCTCACACATGCTTCCTTGCACTACATCTGGTAGACCTTTAAGAAGGCATTGACACAAACAAACAGACAACATAAAATGAAAAATGTCAGCAGATAAGCATTGATCCTATTTATTTAAAATATTATTAAAATTTAGTGTTTTGTATAAAACAAGTTAATAAAACCAAGTGATAGCATATATAGGGCCTATTTCCTTGTATTTTAAAGAAAAAATCATAAAATTGGTCAAGTAGAATGATAAAATTTATTTCAAAATGAAAATTTGTAATGTTTTAAATATGTAAATAGCAGCATTGACTTAGGGGCCATCCATAAATAATGTAACGCAAATTTGGAGTATTTTGAACACCCCTCTCTTCCCTGTTAAGCACCCATAACAAGTGATTGAATTCCCCTAAATAATTCATAACACTTGCGACAACCCGCTTATGAACACAAAAGCTGAAAATAAATAATAACTCATTAAAAAAATTATATTCATTTTATCTACGTTGTGTATTAAAATTTATGATAATCAGAATTAGTTGTCAATGCTGACTGCACCTATCAATAAGATTGGGTGCAAATTTTGTGTGAAGGAAGAATGCACAGTTGAGAAAATTACTGATCACAAGCCTTGCACATGGCACCGTTTTAGATGGTGCTTGGGCGAAAATCTACTGAGTCAATTTAATTTTATGCCACAAAACAGACCAGTTTGGAATATTTTCTTCGTATTTTTACAAATTTAATACAAAATTGACGAAAAACTATTTCCATTTATTGTAACAACTTCTAAGAACTTTAAATTATTTATGTTTTAAAATAACTTAATTAGATAATATTTTAATGTTAAGATTCAAAAAGGAAGTATTTCAAAGAATGCTAAAAAAAGAATATTGATGTTCCATAATACTAATCAAATACCCCCTGCCCCTATGTAACACTATGTAACGCTGCTTCAAAACCCCTCCCCATCTTAAGCATTACGTAATTTATGGACGACCCCATAGTATCTATTTTATAAAAGTTAATGTGTGTATGTGTATGTGTTGGTTCCACAAAAACTTGTGTACTACTGGAGCAATTGGTCCCAAATTTTGCACATATACTTTTGAGCATCCTAGGAAAAAATAGAGGGGTGAAAATGTTTACTCTTTTTGTGTTTTAACAGAATTTAAGTTTCATGCAATCTGCCATCCTTCTAGGTGCCATTCTCGCTGGGAGCAATGAGTGGGATGGGAAGGGAATGAGTAGAGCAGGAAGGAGAAGGAAGGAAGTGGGTCTGGGAACAGGGTGAGTAGGTGGGCCCGGTGAGAGGGGAAACTTAATTCTAAATTTGTCTTCTATAGTTTTCATTATATACCAACTAGTGTTAATGAGAATAGTGTGCAAGTTTCATTGCTGTGAGAAAAAAATATTTTTATGTTAGTGTGATGTACATAATTCAGAATAACCTTGTTTGTTATTATCAAATAAAACTAATGCAGTTTAGATCAGTGATCGCCAAACTGTTGATTGTGAGTTATTTTTCTAGTAGCTCATGAGAAAATATTTGGTAGATCAGTACCACGGTGAGCTTATTTAACCTTGAGTTGCTCCACTGAGCTCAAACAGATAACTCAGAAAGACAGCTGTTTGTGTACTCCTGCACACCTGTCACTCACTCGTATATGCGTATAACTGGCAAATCAACTCATAGTTGATTGTGTGGGTTTGAGGTTGTGTTTTGTGCGTGTACAGACTGCTAATGTGGATAATGTGATGAAAGTTGTTATATCTGTCTTGGGTATCATTTTTTGTGGTAGCTTAGATATGATTAGTAGAGTACGATTTAAAAATGATACATTTGTTCAGAAGCTTCATAAGTTTGACGACCACTGCTTTAGACATTTAACAAGGGAATAATGTATTACTTTCGTAGTATTATTGCAACAGCATGTGTTCAGTCATATTTATTTTTAATGCTAAACCAAATTTATTTAATGTTTTTTTTTGTAGGTTTGAAGCAAATTTTGGGCAGCAGACTGTATTGTTTGCCTTCAAGTGTACTGGTTTGACAGAAACTAATCCAAGTCAGCTGAGAATAACAAGGCGAGGCAATCGTATGGAGGTCTTGGTTTGAATAGAGACACTGAGAAAATTTCTGTGAGTAAAATATTCATAAGCCTACATGTAATAATCAAACAGTTTTGTTTTTGTTTTGTGATTTCTTTTAATATAATTTTGATGCATTTTTGTATTTGATCAATTTTATTACAAATTTCACATTTAAATAGATGGATGTTTAGTTCATGCTGTCTGAATGATGGCCTTCAAAATCGAATATCTTCTGCAAATGTCTTTGTTATTACTTGCAACATTAATGAATAATTATAATATTAATTTGAATGTAAAGCTTTACATTAGTATCATTAACATAAGAAGTAGCAGTTGAATCCAACTTAGTATATTTATTATTATTAACTTGATCGGCCACATTGGACCACTTGAGACGTTCCACTTCACTTTTTACTGTTCATGGTCAACTGTCGAAGGTATCACCTTGAGGTGAGGATAAATCCTCGAGTTACAATTCTGAATGTTATTCAGAAAGGTGATAATGAGAGATAGAGGATGATGGATGATAGGGGGTGAAGGGACAAACACAATACAACCATGCCTGAGGCGGGACTCGAACCCGCGATCTTTCGGTACAAGATCGCTACGGCACTACTGCCTTAGCGATCTCGGCCACCGGATCGGCATATTTATTATGAACAGCTTACTTTTATAAAATTGTATAATTATTCTAATTTTATCATTATATAATAATTCTAATTTGTCATTTTATTGTTGTGAATTATATATACTAAGACACACTGACAATTGCCGTTTTTAAATATATGTAAGCGTCACAAATTATTTTTCTGGCATTTATGACTTATAAAAATTTGAAAAAAAATTACAGAGAGAGAGAGGAAGATCCAGCTGAAACTTGTGGTTCAGTCGGCCAGCCTGTCCGGTTTGGCTTTCAGTGAAGTCATTTGTGATATTCTGCCTTTCCTTTGCCTTAGGGCTTAAGATGATCTGATGTTTTTTAAAGGTGAGACTGATTTTAATTTGCAGGCTACATTGCCTAATATAATCTCACTAAATTCTATTTAAGAATTGAAAAATTGTATTTTCTTCTATTACAGATTTGTCTTGGCTCATAAACTATAAGATTGTGAAGGTAGTATTATGGAAGATAAATATTATTTTGAAGTTGGGCACTTATTTGTTGCCTCGAGTGTATGTGTTGAGTGTTGTAAGTGCCAAACCAAGCAATATGGGACTTCCTGCTCATGAGAACTAGACTGAAGGATAATCCACATCTTATTTTGAATAATTCTTTTGAGTACACATTTTCATGCAACATTGAACATGTATGAATCAAATATCCTGTAATCAAGGAGAAACACATTTTAATTTTGCTACACCCTTTCAGTCTAATCAATAGATGACATTTTTATATGCATTTTGAAAGGAAAGGTTCATCCATAGAATTTGTTTACTTAAAGTCCAAATAGCTTTCCACTCAGAGAGAATGTTCTTTGTAAGAAATTGTTAGTAAGAATGTGTGAACAAGGTTAATCTTCAATGAGCTTGATAAGGTCACTCGTTTTTTGTTGCAATGACAGTGGTGAGGCAGGTACTCCAATGGATGAGTGTGGTTTCAGTATTGTATTTGTATTGTGAAACAACAAACTGAAATTGTTGGAAGTGATGTCCTTTTAGAAGTTAATGTTAAAGTATCACACATGTCAATTACACTGTGCACAACGAACTTGTGTGCCTGTACCTGCCTCACATTTATCAGAAAAGCAAAGAGATGTTCTTTAGTGTTGAGAAAATATATTAATCCATGTAATTTTTATTGAAACTTAAAAAAAAGATTAAAAATTAGTTATATGGTTCCAGGGGTAGTGCAATATATTGTGGAACTTACGGCAGGTGGAGCTACATTGTTACATTGTTACAGAAGTTTTATACCTGCTGTTATGGCTTTCTCTGCCAGTGTTTTGTCTTAGGGAACAGCGCACAATGTGTGTTGGCAATATTGGAATCTGTCTCCTAAAGTCCATTGTGTTTATGTCAGTTGTGGAAAAAATATATTTCAACTATATAACAAAATCTGCAATTATTTGATAAACAAAATTAAAGACAATTTGCAGATAAATAATCAGAACATTAATGTTCTGTGGAACTTCAAATGCAGAAGCATTTGAGATTATTTTTATATCAATCACGTACATGAGTAAGTATATAAAACAAAGTGCTTTAGACACTTGGTGTGAATGTTTTGTGTGTTATGAACTTAAATTTTGCAGTGATTTTGGTGATGATTTGAAATTTTAAAACAAATTGCTTATAGTAACTAAAAAAATTATGAATTCAAGAAAATTGAAAAAAGACATTGGATTTTATTTATCAGACTTCAAGTAATGTTTTTTCTTTTTGGATGAACGATTTTATAAATTGTGGTGAGGAAGGAAAAGTTCTTAAGAATTAAGAATCTCCTTGGTAATGTGCCAAAGTGTATAACAAATTATCCCTTCTGTACAGTTATTATTGTCAATGGAGGCAGCCTATTTTTTAAATGAAGAACTTGTGAGGAAGTGTATTACCACTTCTTCATATTGTTTACAATATGTACAAAATATTTACAAAGAAAAATAACAGTGATTTCTTTTAAAGATTTTCATAATAAAAACATGAACACAAATAAGTTGTTTTTATTTTTGCATGCATAGATAATGATCATTCCTCACTTTTAAGAATTGTAATTTATATTTAAGTCAGAAATTGCTCTGTTGTTTGGAGAAATAGGATAGTACCTTCCAATAGTATTTCAGGTTATAATAATGAAGATTGTCTTTAAATTTTTAAGTGAATTTAATAGGGAGACCTGTGCAAGAATAGTCATCACTTGTAGATTAAGCATTGTAGAGGGCTTCTTTAAAATCTCAGTAAACACTCAGGTAGTATGTAATATCAAATTAAATCTCATCACTTGTGAGTGTAAGTTATTGTGAATCACTTGTTTTTGGTGCAGATGTTTCTTGTGCATCCAATTTGCCTAGTTGTGAGATTTCTGGAGTATTGAGGCCATCTGTTGTGGCAATGTCTGGAACAATTGTTTCTGAAGTGCTGGTTTGTGGAATTTTTATTTCTGTGGCAATTATATCTGAAGCATTTGTTGTTTCAATTTCTGGATTGTTTGTTTCTGATGCAACTTTTCCCACATCTTTAGCTGATATGTTTGAATTTTCTGCAAAATCAGATGTTTCAGCCACAGTTCCTGCTTCAGCTGAATTTTTGTCTGTTGTATTTACTACTTCTGTTCTGTCAGCAGAATCAGCCGCATCTTCAAAATGATCGCTACCTTCAGAATTGTGTCTTTGTCCCTGAATTGCTAAACTTGTGAGTTTTGTTACTTTTTCTTCATAGCGCTCTTTGAGAGATTGGAAGAGTCTCAGTTGTGTTTCATACTCATTTCTTAAGTCACCATTTATCTTAGTAGCCTGCTCCATCTGTTTTATCATTGCTGTTTGACGCCGCCGATTATCATCAATTCTGGATTCCATAGAATCCACATTCTTTTGCAGTTGTTCTACCTGTAACAAAATAATATAATAATTCAGTGTCTCAGAAGTATTTTTCAATGAAAAATTATGTTGTTATGGATAGTTTTGATACTTACTTCCATATTTCGAATGTTGAGTAAATCTCTGGTGACTTGTAGAACATCTTTTAGTGTAGACACTTGTTGAGTTAGAGCTTGATTCTTTTTCTCTTGCATATTACATGAAGTTATTTTCTCTCTCAACATGTCTGTGGCTTTCTTTAATGTTTTTCGTAGATGATCATTATCTTGCTGCAACTTGTTGATGGTATCAACATTTGGAGATGCTGCAGTCAGAGCTGCTAATTCTGCTTCAACTGCTTCAAGTTTGCGCCGGTAATCATCACGTTCTGTTGTCACCATCTAATTGGTAATAATATAACAAAACAGTTATTACTTACAGAGACGTAGGGTAGGATTCATATATTTTTTTAACAAAAAGTTTTTTAACACCTAATTTTTCCTCAAGATATTGCAACATTACAAAAAAAACACATCTTTTAACACAATATTCTCCAACTATTCATTACTGCTCTTTAGCGTTCCTGTCTGTGCATGTCTTTTTGAGTTCTGCTATCCCTACTCTAACTCATATAAATGGTAAATGTAATTACGAATTCAGTTAGTAACAGGCGTTTTTGTCAAGAAATTATCAGAAAATATTTGCTTTCATATTCATGTAATAAAAAATAAATTGGGAAAGGCAATTGAGCTATAGATTTGGGCTATTATTCCATATCATGCCCTATGGGAAGGATGGACTTCTGTTGCAATAACATAGAGAACAATTATTTGAATTGAATTTGAATTATTCCCCTCTGAGCTCAGAAATACTTGCAAAGATAGTGAAGCTACATTTACATCCAGAAACAAAGGGTCCGTTTCAGCATTTCTCAAAGGATCAGGGAAACTGGATGAAAAATTTGATAGAGAATATGGTCATTGACCTACAGCTGAGGTACAATACTTGTTATAGGCATATTTTGCTTTTAGAATTATTCAGTATAAATAGTAACTAATATTAAATTTCAATGTTAAAATCAATATTATTTTCCTATCTGTAGTCTCCCAAAACAGTGATACAGCAGAAAAGCTTTTTCCTAACACTTAAACTCATGTATCAATTTTAATCATTTAGTGTCATTTGGCAGTATGTAGACAAATAATGAACATATATTATAAGTGATTTTTTGTAGTGAGCTGTTGGAACTGACACCTGATAAATATGAAAACTATTTTGAGTCTTATAGTTATAGACATTTCTGCCTGTATTGTCTGAAAATATCTTCCCCCCCCCCTTGAGTAAGTTGTTTTTAACAAAAACAACTGATTATTAAGTAAGAATTACTTACTTAAGAAAGAAAGACTCACAAGAATTATGTGAGTGGGATTTGTTTATTGTTTGTACAATCTGTTCTGTAATCTAAAACTTTGTGTTTGCAAAAGTTTGCAATATATACATTATAATATAATATATATTAATTTTTCACAAATGTTACAGATTATATGAAAAAGGCTGTGCTATTTTATAGCAACACAATTTTTATTTTAATTCAAATTTTGGTTATTTACTAAGAATTATTAGGTGAAGTAGTTGAACTTTGATGTTGATTCACAATGAATTTGTTAAGGCTTATTGAGATGAACATACATTGGGAAAGGAATCTTTGCTGTTAATTGTCATTCTCACTAAAGTTTTGTTCTTCATTTTCATCTTCCAGAGAACAAATTTCATTCTTTATTGAAAGAAATTATAATTATTCATTTCATCTCTCTTACGTTTTCTATTATATTGTTTAAAAGTCCTTTCTGAATGAATTTCCCTTTGAATTCTTGATATTGATAAGAAAAATAAATCATCAATGCAATGATTATTTCCACTCATGAAATTGAAATTATTTACAGTACATTAAGTTCAAATGGTCCATTTGATAAAATAAATTACAAAGGTTTAGTAATTGTTGATGCTGGAAGTTGAAGTGTGCACCATGTTTATTAAATTCTAAGTCAACACATTTTATTGTGAAAAAAACATGAAGGCATCATTGAAACTTGCAAAAACGTAACAAAGCTTAGCGAAGTATGTATTTAAAAGTTTGAAGAATAGATTTGTAATATCTAACCTCCTGAAAGGTTCCTTCAATATTAGAGAAATAAAAGAAGAATGATCTCTTTGTTGACTCTTCCTATTCATCAAAGGTTAAAAATGTTATAATAAAAGAAAACATAATTTCTTTTAATTTTCTTTTATTTGAGAAAGTTATGTAATGCTGCAAAAAATGTCATATTTATGTCAAAATACGTCAAGATTTTGTTGGAAATTCACATTTTGGTTGTGCCTGATACTAAAAAGGTTCCTTTTTTCAAAATATCTGTCTGACTGTAAAGAAACCTAATGCCCAAACCATTCCCAGAATTTTCACTAAAATGGATTTTCCCTGGTCGATCTCACTAATAATGTAGCCTCTTGAATTTGAAATTGATATTTAAATTTTTCTGAGAAGCACTTTACATGAAGCCTCCATCACAATTTCCAAATTTTCTCAAAAAAGGCTTCATCTTTTTCTTAAAATATTTTGCTTGTTTATATCAATGTACTCTTTATGAAATTGGGAGATATCTGTTTTTCATTAAAATCTCTGAATTTTCTAATATGGCAAAGTTAAATTTTTTTTTCGAGTCCTACACCAACTACATTATTGAAAGTAGAGATTCCTTTATTAGTGAAATCATCTTCAAAATTAGATGTTTAATTAATGTCAAATTCATTTAGTGTTAAATAAAGAAATAGGTTAATAAGATTTTCTTGCAATTTTTTTTTTTTTCTTTAAACATTTTTTTCAAATAGTTTGCTTAGAAAGGAAATTAATGTGCAAATTTAGTTAACTAAACGAAAAAATAATTTTATGTACACTTCTTCAAAGTACTTGAAGTTTTTGAATAATTTTTAATTTTATGGTGACAAAGTTCACATTTTTCTCAAATTTGCTGTAAGCTTTGAACATTGAAGATAGAGATTTTTTTATTAATGCAATATTTCTCCCGATAATCATTTAAATCATACCTCTTAAAATCATTTAATGTACTTTTTTCTTTCAAAATGTTTGTAGTTTTCATGAAACTTTTTGAGTTAGTTTGTTTTTCAAGTAATTGTGCATATTATTTTAAAATTTTAAAAATAAACTTACTAAAAATACAGGAAAATATGTTCTGTTGCAGCAAAACTAATTTGGATTTGTAGTAGGTTTACTAAGAAGAATCCAATAAATTTCTAAATCGTGTGAGGGGCTCGGGCCCGGGGAGAGGAGGGTGCACCCAGTACATCGCTTTTGAGCCCCATGGGGGTCAGTAAAAAACCAAGGCATCGAATAATGTTTATTTAATTGATTGTTTAATGCTTCTGGGCGCGTCAACTGCGAAGATCACTAGTCCTGTGAGTGGAGTGCATTATTTTGGTGGGAGGTTATCTTCCCCCGCTGGTTGATGGGATGGCGTCGACCACGTCGGCTTGCGGTAATTTACTCACCCAGGTATCGCCCTACAGCGGGGCACCGCCTCAACCTGGACACGTTGACTCCCGACGTGTGTGGTCGTGTAGTTCGGGGGTAAAATTAGAAAGATGGAAATATCGCGAATGGTCCGTGCCGTTTGTGAATGTATTGTTCCGGCATTTACCTGGTGTTGATCGAAGAAACAACGGAAAACTTCCGATCAGAACAGCCGGCCGCTAGAATTATCCTCCAGACAATGGCTGAACTCTAGATATGTAGCTAAGTGTTGAAAATCCTGCTACCGTCGGGACTCGAAGCCTAGGAATTCCCGGTCAGAAACACTGCAGTGACATCAGTTGATGAACCACCTAAGCCGATTTATTGTTGTAGAAATATTTATTTTTATTGTATCTTAAATTTTTTAGTTTTGCAGGTTAATATATTTTGAAAATGAAAGCTCATGCGCATGTCACAATGTCTATTATGCCACGTTCTGTGATATTGCTAATTCTGAAAAGCGCAGGAAGGGCCATTGTGAACAGTAGAGCACCGGATGAAATGTCTCTACTAAATGTATCAGTGTTAATCGAATGTACGAAATACAATATGTACGTATACATGGCGGTAGAATATTGTGTACAAACCCACGTTCTATCTTCTTTGTAGAGAGACCCGGATTTTCTCTCAGCAGACCTGTTACGGTGTTGAAATTTTAATCGGAAATTGAAACGACATTAACACTTGAATTTCTATCTAATCCTCCAAATGCACAGTAATTGCCATTTAATAACTGTCAAAAAGCAAGTGTATTCAGAATTAGAGCACGACGGAATTGCGGATATTAGTGTCATTCTCAGAAAGTTGTAGGTTTCTTCTTCATTGCTTTTGACCGGGCTCGTGTGTGGCCAATAGCTATAATAAGAGTTTGTCGTCGTTTGAGAAACATCACAGGAGGGTCGGTAGGCCATACCTCGAGCTCCAGCTCCATGGGGGACAACTGCGCATCTCCATTGTCTGGCTCTTGCGTTGGGGCAGCAGTGGCTGCTCCAGCTGACTCAGCACTCCCTCCGGGGCTTGCAGCAACCGCCGTCTGATCTCCCTCTGCCATTGCTCGTGAGGTGGATGCTATCTATCGCAGATCTCCCGGATCCAAAAAAAATGCCTGGAACAAAATGCCAAATCAATCGTCATTATCGTTTTCATTAATTTTGAATCATACTTATTTCACAAAGACGCACGCAATTATCATTACAGAGTGAAGGCATTGTGATTTGCCAAAAAAGAAATTGATGAGAACTACGCAAATCGTTGTTACGGCAGGTTGAGGCGAAGGTACTCACGTGCTGCTGTGGCTCGTGAACAACAGCGAAAGAGCTGATGACTTCCAACACGCGGAAGGAACAGGACTGCAGTCACTAACGCCAACACTCCAGGAACTTTATTCTCTAATAATGCAGTCAGTGTTCCTTCTTATTCATATTTTGTTTAGAGTATTCAGCTACTCAGTTAACAAAATGAAATGACTTTGTGTTAAAACTATGTCAAAAGTAGTTAAATACGTTTTTACACTTCCCCGTGCGGCAGTTGGTACGGCTGAAGGCCATTTAACCCCGATATAATTTTAGACATTGGGGCACCCCATATAGAACAGGCGCCCGGCTTTGTACATGTGTGTGGGAGCAGAGAAAGCAAGACATTCGTGACGCGTAGAAGTGAGTGTTGCACTGGCATTGGAAGCAAATGCTCCTATAATTAAACATTGAAACGCAACAGTGTTCAACCATAAGTCTATATATTGAAACCCATTTCCCTTCCAGATCAGGTCCTTCAATCAAGAAAGAGTACGTTTTCAAATGATTTAGATGTTCGTAGTCAATGCGCATCTGCCAACTACCCGAAAGGGATGAGGCGATATCCGAAGATTATTAAATAACAATTGGAAGTGAACAAGAAATACCATACTTTCTTATTTTGTCCATTCCGTTCGTACGAGCGTACTATCGTGCGAAGCTCATTAGTATAAAGTAATATATAATGTTATGGAAATATTGTCTGTGATTCGCAGAAGCGGGTGTAATTACATTCCATGTACCAGGGTAATGTCAGGGAAGAGTTCACAGGAAAAAATAATTCTCCGTATAATCAAAATATTTTTATTGCTTCAATTGTGTTAATTATTGAGTAGTTAAGAAGAAATGTGAAATTTTATAGGCAATTATTATGAGTGTTACAATGTAGGTATGTAATTCAATTCAATTTACACTTAACCCTTTTTAAGTAATACTCTTTTTACATTTTTGTTTTACTTCGTAAGAAGAAAAGTTGTGTAATTGTGCACCGGAAATCGATTATTATTCCACAGAAACTCTTATTACTGAGCCCTATTAACAAAAAAATGGGTAAATTCTATTCCTATGAATTACTTCCTCTAGCACGTGATAAAAACAGAATCAATGTTTTGTGGGTCTTCTATACCGAAAAATCTATTGACGGCATAACGTCTATGATCAACGCTAACGCCTAGACCGTCAGCCGATTCTCTCCAGAATTGGTATTCTTCGGCTAATCTGAACCAACTTTAGGCTTTGGGAGTTCAACAAGATATTTCCATTTTTGACGGTACTTTACATGAAGCCATAAACATTTGATTAAACATTGTCCTCGGATAGCGTAAGGACGCTTAAGAGTGGTGTTTACTTTCAAAACAAGTTGTGGTGCAGGTCTCATGTTCGTTGACATTTCATATTTTTCGAAAATTACAAAAGGGCAATTTTTTTGGGGGGATGCGTCTTTTTACAACTACAATATATGAGATAGATATATTCTTTCTTAATAACATATATACTTTAAAGACAGATCTTGAAATAAAATCACATTCTATTTTTAAAAAATATGAATGGTTTTCGGGTAATTTTTTGCCAAATATAGGCTTTTTTTATTTTTCATTAAAAAAAACACCAATTTTTTTTCTTTAAATTTTCCCCTCATTTGTATCAAAAGCCTGTAAAAAATATGGTGCTAGTCCCATTTTCGGTGAACGCGGTATTTTCGAAAATTGCAAAATGTTAACATTTCAATACTATAAAACTGAAGATAGATTTTTGCTTTCAACAAAGTTTGTCGCAAACAATCAGCTCTTTAAAAAAGGGAAAGTACATTTTTTTTAAAAAAAAACAAATAGTTTACCCGTAATTTGTGTATGAAATGTCTAATTTTCTTCTGAAAAACCGCTCCAAATTTTTTCTTGAAATTTTTCCCACAGATATAGGAAAGGATGCTTATCAGAATTGTGTGGGTCTCATTTTCGTTGAACTCTCTCAATTTTCGAAAATTGGAACAGTATGTGCTGTTGTAGCACCACTAGTTTTAGTATAGTCACAGAATGCTTGAAAATGGTGGTCTAATATTCTTTCAACGCCCTGAATTTTTTTAAATCACAGAAGTTAAAAATAATGCGAGGAAATTTGTGCTATTTTAGCACCACCAATGTTATATTGTGGTCAAATAAAAAATATAAAGGAACTCTCGCACGAAAACATACTATACTTTGGTTTAAACATTGAATCTGTTGGCGTAAATCATCTGTTACGATGTCATTCAGTCGGGGGCTTACACTTGCAATGGTGACGTTTAAGCTCCCCCTTGAATGGTACCGAAACAGTTGATCAAACGTTAATAGTCTGTAAATAAATCTAAGTAAATTATTTTAAATCAGTGCAAACATTAAAAGAATGAAGTAAATGTTAAATGCCATTCAAAATTATATTTTGTTTTATGAGAATTTTTTAGGGCAAATGATTATTGTGAATATAGCTTGTATTTGGATCAAAGTATTCCAATATATTGATGAAAAATATTAAATAACCCGATATTATATTAATTGCAAAAAATGGTATTGCGTTCTATGGAAGCGTTTCCCGTAGGTACCCCGATGGTACCTATGCTTAATGACAGAATTTCATTAAATTAAATTTACCTAAATAATTTAAATGATAATTTTGCTTCTTGCCATAACTTTTGTTGTGTGCGATATAATACACATTCCCTTGATTGCTAAAAATTGTAGAATCTTTTTCTACATATCTTAGAATTTTAGAGTAACTTTGCAACTACATTATATCACAACATTTACCGGCGACCGATCATTAATTTGGCAAAGAAAAAGATGTGCGTTAAATGATTAGGTTTGATCTAAATGAGTAACTTTCCCCCGAGTTTCGCATTCTTATCAGTGCATGTTGCTGAGAAGGTATGAAATTACTTGTTTGATTGATTAGTGATTCCGAACGCTTCAATTGCTAATGTTACTAGTCCCGTAAGTGTAGACCCTCGTAGGAGGTGGCGATGATATTTCCACGCTGGCTACGTCGGCTTGCGGGGATTTTTCCTAATCGGGTATCTCCCGCCAGCGTGGCACCGCCCCTCCAGGGACCAGCTCTAAGTTCTCGATTGGATTCTCAAACCGTGTGTTGGTGTAGTGCACACAAGTGTATGTAAGTAAGGGGTGAGGATAGAACAAGGAAGAGTAAGGAAATATCGCACGCAGTACATCACCCGTTTGTTAGAGTACTGCTCCGGCATTCGCCTGGTGTTGGTCGGAGAAACCAGGGAAAACTACCGATCAGAGCAGCCGGCCGCTACAATTCTCCAGACAATAGCTAAATTCAACCTAGCTGTCTTGCTAGTGTCGGAAATCCTGCCACTGTCGGAACTCAAACCCGAAAGTATTTGTAACGAAAAGCAAATCACATCTTTGCTATACATTGCTAGTATTAAAGTAATATGAGGCTTAATCACGTCACTTAAGGTAGGTTTTTCAAGGATGAATTCTTCCAGAGAGGTATTTATGAAGTATTTGGTTGTTTGTGAATTGTAAATGAATTTGTAGCATCTGATTGAAGTTCCAGCCCCTGACAGTTAGGCAACGAGGAGTACGTTTTCTTTTTCATGCTCGACGAATTGCCTATACATCAGGCGCTGTCAAATGTCCGAGTTTTGTGTTCCCCTACAAAGGATTAGAGTTCCTAGCAAAATATCAATCTCAGCACTTGATAAGGATTCTCATTCAAGTTTCTTTCCTTTGGAAGGACATGTTTGCACTGTGGCTCGATATTTCTGTTATTGGGTATTCTAAAAATTGTTTGTAATAAAAGGAGCGGATTTTAATGAAATTATATTTTTTCTTGACATTTCAGAACAATGCCGCTTAGTACAGAAATTCATTTTATGTTATGACAAAAGAAAATGACCAATTTTTATACGTCTTGTTTTTGCATTTTTGATCGATTTTGCCTAATTAGTCTTTTTTTTTTACCTTTTCCCAAAATTTCTGGCAGATTTCAGATTAACTAAAAACAGATTTTTCCTCATAAAGAACAATCAAATCAAAAATTGCACAAGCTGAATGCATCTGAACGAATAGAAGTAGCCTCGATTACATCAGTAACGTTACCCTTAAGTTTTTCATCCGAACTGGTTATGATAACATTTTTTTCATGTTTTTCTTGTGCCATTTTCCCTCCATTTAATCCATTTTATTGATCATTTTTGGCAATGTCTTAGGTCATCAATATCCGTCCAGGAGTAATAACCAATACTCCAATTAATTTTAAAAAATAATTTACTTACATAGAATTTCAAAAATATCAATCACTACCAGTTCGAGATGCATGCTATAAACTTTTAGAAATGTATCGTAAATTGCCTTTATTTGTACGAAACCAATTCTAACACCAAATAATGTTACCTCTCTAATAATAATTGTAATAAGAATATAAATTTTCGTTTACAGTTTACTTGTACAACATTATAACAACAGAAGAAAATGGGATGTGCAAAAATTGTCACACTTCGCGGCGACCTCCATAGTAAGTAGGACAACAACTGAATTATTTGTAGACAAAAATCATTTATAATTCCAGTCAAATTTTGTATATTTCAATAGCTGACCAGACCATGCTAGACAGGGACTTCTTGATTGACTGATTATTCCGTGATTCCGAGCGCATCAACTGCTAAGGTCATTAGTACCATAAGTGGAGTGGGTTTTCCTCGGAAGATAGCAGTTACCTTTCCCTGCTGGATGGTGAGATCTGGCGTCACCTACACGTCGGGTGGGGTTATCCCCCATCAGTTACCTCTCTCCACCTACCACCGGCAGGACTCGGCACTTGAACCCTAGATCTTTCCAATCAGAGGCACTGCAGTGACATCGCTTGATGCTAAGCTGGTCAAGGACTTCTTAAATGAGAAATAAAGCGGTACAGAATGAATGACTCAAGTATATCAAGAGCTCACAGTATTGGATTATATATCATCATTGTCTCTTTCTTGTTCTTCGCTCTTTATCTTTCCCTTCCTCTTCTCTGGTTGTCCCTCTTCTCTTCTTGCTCTTCCTTTTTTATCTCCTCCCTCTTCTTCATA